AAAAGGCCACAAGGCCAGTTCACATGCAGAGATATATATGTAACAACAACAGCACAGTGACCTCTACCTACCAGAGCAAGCATGCAAGTATACATATAGATCACAGTACAAACAAAGCGTAGGCACAAGGCCTAACAAAGTACAGAAACGCTGATGATCACCAGGCGGAAGCGCCTTGGTGAATATATCAGTAGTGTTGGCGCGAGTGGCCACGTAAGCAAGACGAAGCTGGCCACACTGCTGCAGCTCTCGAGCAAGGAAGTAATGCAGAGCGATGTGCTTTATTCTATGCTCCAGTTTGTGCTCCTGACACAAGGCAATCGCGGCCTTGTTGTCGACGTACAGCACTAGAGGAGACAAGGCCGCTCTCCCAAGTCGGTCAGCAGGTAGGTGAGCCAGCGTAGCTCCTGTGTCCCTATAGCCGTGGCGTAGATCTCGGCCTCACAACTGGAGCCGAGAACTGAAGACGAGCGTGTAGAACGCCAGGAAACTGAACCAGAACCAAGGTTGAAGGTGTAACCCTGTGACGACCGCTGCGTAGCCTGGTCGTCAACCCAAGAGGCGTCCTAGTGACCAGTGAGGACAACCTCCCCCCATCCTCCAAGCACGAGTCCCATGCCCGATGTACTGCACAAGTAGCGTAGTACCCTCTTAGCAGCATCCATGTGCACCTTTCGGTGCCAACCAGGAGCCACGTAGCGAGCCAGAAGGCCAAAAGGGTACGCAAGGTCAGGACGAGTGCAGGTCATCAGGTACATGAGGCAGCCCACAAGCTCTGGGTACGGACCACTCGGCTCTACGGACTCGTCCGAAGGTGGAGCTGAGAGCGAGTGACCTGTAGCCAGGGGAGTGGCCTGTGCTGAGGACCAGGTGAAGCCGAAGCGCTGAAGGACCTGCTGCACCATGTGTGACAGAGTCAGTGTGATGGTGCGACGTGCTCTGTCCCGGGTGATTCGCAAGCCAAGGTAGCTGCGCAGTTCACCCAGGTCTGTGCACATGTGTCTCTTCTGCAGCTCCGACTTCACCAGGGCAAGAGCCTCAGTGTCAGCAGTGGCAAAGAACAAGTCATCGACGTACACGAGGATGTAGAACGGCGGCAGCGAAGTGTCGGTGCGCAGAAACAGCGACGGGTCAGCAGTCGACGGGGCAAACCCAAGAGCCGCAAGAGTCGTCCTTAGTGTGTCGTGCCACTCACGTGGCGCCTGGCGGAGACCGTAAACTAGTCGCCGGAGACTCCATTGGGTACCAAGAGGGAACGACCCAGTGAAGCCAGGTGGGCGGCACAGCCAGATCTCCTCGTTTAGGCTGCCCTATAAGAAAGTTGTGCTGAAGTCAAGAGAATGAAGCTTGTAGTCACGCTAGGCGGCAACGTGCAGCAGTACCCAAAGAGTGGTCATCTTCGGGGTGGGGGAGAAGGTCTGGAAGAAGTCAACTCCCTCTTGCTGACTGAAACCTCGAGCAACGTAACGAGCCTTAAAGACAGGCGGAGAACCTGGCGGCCGCTTCACCTTGAAAATCCACATGCCACTGACGATGTTCGCCCCAGGAGGGGGAACCTCATCGACGTAGGTGCCTGTGGACTTCCAGAATGCCATCTCTGCGTCCATGGCTGTCTGCTAGTGAGAGGAGTAGGGACCCTCGATCGCCTCAGCGTAAGAGCGCGGGGTCGGGATGTCTGGAGCATTCGGGTCTCCCTCAGGGGCAAGTAGCATGGACACGAGATGTGGCGCAGCGGCTGCAAGACACTCAAGGTCCTCCTGCCTGTCCTCAAGGACGTCTGTGCGAAGAGCACACTCGCCCTCAACGGACGGAGGACAGAGAGACTCAGACTGAGAAACAAGGCTAGCGGCATAGTCTAGACGACAGGCAGCAGCTAAGTGAACAAGCTCAGCAACTAAGGCAGACGCAGCAGCAGACTCAAACGACGGGTCGGTGACAACAGTGGCTAGCAGACGCATGACAGTAGGGTTCTCAACACTAAATTGGTCAGACGCAAGGTTAGCAACGACCGGTAGACAGGACGCAGGGGGAGACGGCAGGCGAACACGCTGCGCCAGAGAGGAAGGACGACAAACTACAAGGGGAGGGCCGGGGACTGCCGGCTGACACTAACGAGGAACACGACGACTGGAACGACTGGAATGGACAGGTGAGACAGGATGCGACATAGGCTCACGACGCTCAGCGAGGCCCCCAGTATACTCTGTGTACGGAGGAGGAGCAAGCAGAGGTGAGCCAGGTTGTGACGGAAGACCAATAGACGAGGGTAGACTGAGAACCTGGCGAAGCGCAGAGTCAGGCGGTGGCTGAGATGACGGAGACGGCGGAGCGAAGAACAGCCGCAGCTGTGCAGCGCCACCACCACCAGCAGCTCCAGCACCTCCAGCAGCTCCAGTACCCCCAGCAGCTCCAGCACCTCCAGCAGCTCTAGTACCTCCAGCAGCTCAAGTACCCTCAGCACCTCCAGCAGCTCCAGTACCCTCAGCACCAGCTCCACCTGCTGCAGCACCCCCAGAAACGGCACCTCGAGTCCTAGGGTCTCCAGCCGCAGTGCCACCAGCAGTAGCACCCTCAGACACAACATCACCAGCCCCAGCAGCTCCAGTACCCCCAGTACCTTCGGGACCAGCGACACCAGCACCTCAAGTAGGCAAAGGACCAACACCACTCCCAGCTCCAGTGACGCCAGCAGAAGAACCCCCAGCAGTAGAGCCATGAGGTTTAGAAGCGCGACGCTGACGGCGACCTTACCAGATGTGCAGCTACTGGGAGGTGAGAGGCATACGCGGACGAAGATGGCTACTCCTAGGAGACCGCGTAACAGCAGTCTCAGAACCCTCAGGCGACTCACCCCCAGACTCAGCACCCCCACGCTTTGCACACGCAGGCTCAGCACCCCCAGACGCAGCACCCCCAGACGCAGGACCTCCAGGCTCCTCACGCGCAGGCTCAGCACCTCCAGGCTCTGCACCCTCAGGCTCCTCACGCTGAGCGCCCTTAGACTTAGCACCCCCACGCTGCGCACCCCCAAGCTCCGCACCCCCAGGGACAGCACCACTCCCAGCAGGACCGGAGTCACCAGTGACCTCAACAGGCGCAGGGACGGGAGGGTCTACCTGAGAAACACCTGAAGGAGCAGGACCTGGCGCGGGGAGAGGGTCTACCTGGGGAGGACCTGGGGCGAGAAAGAGCGGCAGGAGGGGGCGAGGAGCAGTGCGGTAGGGGAAGAGGTGGTAAAAGGGGACCGACTCGTCAAAGGTGACGTCCTGAGTCGCGAAGACACGGCGCGAGGCGGGGTCGTAAAACTGCCAGCCAAGCGCGTCAGGGACAAAGCCAAGGAAGACGCAAGGAATGGCTCGAGGGGAGAGTTTGTCTGCGGTGGTATCGCGGACAAAGGCACGAGCACCCCTGACCCGGAAACGCGATGCGTCGCCAACCTTCCCCGTCCACAACAGTGTGGGCGAGGTCTCTGGCAAGGAGACACCGGGCCAAAGGTTGAGCTGATGCACGGCATAGCGGACCGCAAACGGCGATAGAAAATGCGGGGCAGCCGCATGGATCATGGAGGTACGAGCGACTTCCATGACTAAGCCAATGCGGCGCTCAGCAACCCCATTCTGCTGCGGAGAGGCCGGAAGCGTGAAAGTCTGGCGAATGCTGTGCTCCGCATAGAAGGCTGCCAAGAGGTCTGAGGAGAACTCACCACCTCTGTCAGAGTGCAGACGCAGGACAGGAAAGTCCGACTGGAACCGCTCGCGGAGCTGGAGACGAGCTGTGCGGATCCAGGGGATCAGAACATCAGGGACACCCCCCTTGCGCTGCAAGGGGAAGACCGTGGTGTAACGCGTGTAGTTATCGACAACCAGCAGGAAGTACCGCTCGTGGCCCTGTCCACGGACGCGGGTTGGGCCCCACACGTCCAGGTAGAGAGTCTGCAGCGGAGCCTCTGTGGGAGGGAACGAGGAGGAGTGAGGAGCGGCGCGCTGCCGCCCCTCGACGCGAGGAATGCAGGGCGGCGCAGGCGAGGGAGGGAAGGGCAGGCAAAGACCTGGGAAGACCAGAGACCAGGAAGCGAGAGTGCATGCTACGAAGGCGAGGCAGGGAGGGGTGACCAAGGTGGTGGTGCCACAAGAGAGTGTCGTGCGACAGCCGGCGACACTCACACTGTGTAGCTACCTGAGCAGACGCGTGTAACTAGGGAGACAAAGGGGAGGAGCGCGACGCAGTGGTGATGGTGTACAGACTGGACCTTGGCGCACGAGTGAACGTGGCCAGGTGGCGGCCGGTCCAATAGCACGTGCAGATCGCCACACGCTGCCGGCCAGGGGTGAAGGTGTCAACCCCCGCATCCTGGAGGACAGCGTTACTCACCAAGTTCGTAGAGAACGAGGGGAGGTGGAGACCAGACAGCTCACCAGTTGGGACCGCCGGACACGGAAGCACAGTGGAAGACCGTGCAAGCTCTGGGCTCCTAGAGGGGTCAGCCAGTGAGACAGGAACTGGTGCAGGGAATGGAGTGACTGTGGTACTGTCGTGAAAGAAACAGCGGGAAGCACCAGAGTCAAGTGTAAAGGTGTGCAAGGCCTGTGCAGGCGCAGTACCAGGGGGAGCAGACTCACAAGCACCTAGTGCTGCAGGGGTTATACCAGGGGCTATACCAGAATACAAGTAGTAGTCACCCTCAGCACTAGCAGTCAATGCATACATAGCAACAAGAATTGCGTCATTGTCAAGATCAAAGATAGGTACATCACGCCTAAGCAGGACTGCTCAGTTGGGAACTCAGTAGCATCAGGAAACTTGGTGCGCCAGGCGTCGCTAAGCCGAGCGAAGCAGCGCTGCTTAGTGTGAAACCCTGTGCACTGGCGACTAGCGTGGGGACTTGTGCGGATGATATAGGGGCAGCGACCAGGACCCCCAGAAGCCCCACGCCCGGCATACCAGTCAAGAAGCTGCTCGGAAGTGGGGGTCTGGCGCTGACGCTACTGCTGCTGCTGCTGCTACGACTGCCGCTGGCCCTGACCACCATTGCCACCACCGCTCCCTCCTCCCCCACTGCCACTGCTGCCACCTCCACCGTTCCCAGTGCCTCCGCCGCCCCCACCACCACCTCCACCGCCTCCACCCCAACGGCCACCCCCACCACCTCCACCTCCCCCGCCGCCTGCACCACCGCCACCTCCACCGCCACCCCCACCTCCCCTACCACCCTTGCCGCCCCTGCCGCTGTGACGCTTCCCACTAGGAGCGGAAGCAGCCCCGACCTCCTCAGCACCAAGGTAGTCGTGAGCAGCAGCTACGGAGGCGTAGGAGGGGGTGAGAGGGGAGAGGGAGCACCCCTCAAAGAGGGGAGAGCGAGGAGTGCCACGAGCAGCACCTACAGCGAGGATGTTCTTCTCTGCTGCGAGGAGGTGCTTCTCGAAGTCGTTGACAGTCAGAGTGGTGGGGTCTAGCGCTAGGAAGAAGTCCCTGACAGAGCCAAGAGTGTCAGGGAGGCGGGTGATGAGGAAATAGAGAGTGAAGTACATTGGGAGGGGGGGGGGGGGGGGGGGGGGGGGGGGGGTGCAGCGCAGAACTCGGCTGAAAGGGCGGCACAAAAGCGAGTGTCAGTAGCGCGCAGGTGGGAAATGAGGTCCTCAGCAGTGGTGAACGAGGAAAGGTCGGGGAACAGGTAGGGTAGCATGAGCCGACCTACGGCTGCAGTGGCCGGGGAGGAGTAGCGCGCAACAACAGCGTCGTATAGTGTCTTAGCGTTTTGTGCTAGCTGAAATGCGCGCGCTCAGTAATCGGCAGATGGTTCTTAATAGCTAGGCGTGCAGCAGCATCGCGAGTCTGCCACTGTGAGCGTTCGAGAGCAGGAGCGTCGGCACCAGGAGCAACGGCAGCGCCAGACACGTAATCGAACTGTGAAACGCCCTCTTTGGCATCGGTCAGAAGGAACAGTTGCAGGTCGTCGAGCCACACAGCGAACTCTATGGGGCGACCGTCTCGGCTACGCAGCGGTCGTCACAGGGTTACACCTTCAGCCTTGGCTCAGGTTCAGTTTCTTGGCGTTCTACACGCTCGTCCTCAGTTCTCAACTCCAGTTGTGAGGCTGAGATCTACGCTAAAGCCATGGCTGCACAAGAGTTATGCTGGCTTACCTACCTGCTGACCGACTTGGGAGAGCGGCCTCGTTCTCCTCCAGTGCTGTACGTAGACAACAAGGCCGCCATTGCCTTGTGTTAGGAGCACAGACTGGAGCACAGAATGAAGCACATCGCTCTGCGTTACTTCCTTGCTCGAGAGTTGCAGCAGCGTGGTCAGCTTCGTCTTGCTCACGTGGCCACTCAGGCCAACACTGCTGATATATTCACGAAGGCACTTCCGCCTGGTGATCATCAGCGCTTTTGAACTTTTTTGGGCCTTGTGCCTACGTTTCCTCACTTGCTGTAGGCTCTGCCTGTACTGTGATATATATATATATATATATATATACCTGCATGCTTGCTCCTGGTAGGTAGAGATCACTGTTTTGTTGTTGTTGCATATATACCTCTGCATGTGAACTGGCCTTGTGGCCGTTTGCTTGTGCTCAGTGTGTGTGGTGACGTTGTGATCCACCCTGAGCTTGCTTTGCTTCTCTTGACTGGTCTTGTGACCCCTTGTTCCCCCACTTTGCCTATGGGGGTGTGTCAAACTATATGCATGTCATATATGTGTAGGCTGTAGTGGGGTAGCCAATATGGGGTACAACCCCATTAGGGTTTCATAGTTGTACCAAACCCTGATCTAGTCAATTCATTCATGCCACTAGATTCTAACAGTTACGAATAGCAATGAATGAAGATTACAGTGCACTCCCGACTGCAGCTAAAGAAGCATACAGTATCGAGAACGAATGTGAAGCGTCAGAATTGACTCAAAACGTCAGACGGTTGAGATACATCTGAACCGTCAGAGCAGGTGGCATTGGGCAGCTGCAGGCAGAAGGATTCTGGCGGGAACAGTTTCGTAACTGTACGCACCACACGGTTGGGAATGAATTTGAATAAGGGAATGTACCCCTTAGAGTACATGGCTGGCTAGGTCGATTCGTACTCCCCTGTACTCTTATTTATATTGTTGTATTTGCATGCTTTTATTATCTCAAGCATTTTACATTCACTCTGCTATTGAGGTCAAGGACCCACCACCACTAGACTAGAAGTGTGCGAACCTTCATGAGGTGATCTTGGTTACGATCTATTTCTTATCGCAGCACAAGGCAACGTGCTTCATTTCAATGGGACATGAGACATTGGAGAGACGAGCCTCGTGTGGGTTGTGTTGGTCGCGTCGATGGTGACGTCGAAGAATGAAACTTGTTGGCGGTAGCGCCGTGTCAATGAAGCTGCAAGTTGCTTCATTTTGGACGTCGTTGTGGTGGATGTGGTTGAAGTTGGCTGCTTGTGTTGGCAGTTGAGGCAGACTAGCTCGTCGTATACGATTGTCCACATGTCCAGTGCAATGATACACTACCGATGTGATGCAACAAGAGGTGGCACAAATTCTAGATCATCTAGGCAGAAATGAATGAGCTAGGAAAGTGTTGAGTACAAGTATGAAACCCTAAAAGGGGCAGTACCCCATATTGGCTACCCCACTACACCCTAAACATATATATCATACATATAATTGTCAGATTTATATGACATAGCTATTGTAGGCTATAGTGGGGTAGAACATATGGGGTACTGCTTTCTAGGGGTTTGTATTTGTACCCAACTTTCACTTAGTCATTCATTCCTCGTTCTAGTTTTCTCATGGTATCGAGCAGGTTCCCTCGTGGGAACTGTTTCTAGGGCCCACCGATTCGATTTTTTTTCCTGCCCGGAGCGCGCTCAGCCCCTGCCCGAGTCGCGCTCCCATCTCTGCGGCCCCGAACCGCCGCCCTAGCGGCCCCGTCGCCTACTCCTGCGGCCCCGGCGCTGCCCTTCCCGGCCCCGACGCCGCCCTTACTGACCCGGCCCCGCCTAAGCTGGCCCCGTCGCCTAGCCCTGCGGCCCCGGCGCCGCCCTTCCCGGCCCCAATCCGCCGCCCTGCGGCCCCGTCGCCTACCCTGCGGCCCCCGCGCCGCCCTTTCCCGGCCTCGACGCCGCCCTTCCCGACCCGGCCCAGCCTCTGCTGGCCCCGTCGCCTACCCCGCGGCCCCGGCGCCGCCCTTTTCCGGCCCCGACGCCGCCCTTCCCGACCCGGCCCCGCCTCTGCTGGCCCCGTCGCCTACCCCTGCGGCCCTGAGCCGCCCTTCTCGGCCCCGACGCTGCACATCCCGGCCCCGGCCCAGCCTCTGCTGGCCCCGTCGCCTACCCCTGCGGCCCCGAGCCGCCCTTCTCGGCCCCGGCGCTTCCCTTCCCAGCCCCGGCCTAGCCGCTCCTGGCCCCGTCGCCCGCCCTGCCCGGCCCCGGCCCCGCCTTCACTCGGCCCCGCCGTCACCACCGAGCCGCCAGCGCCACCCGAGCCGCCCGAGCTGCCGCACCACCTGAGCCGCCAGGGCGCCGCACGCCGAGCTGCAGTTGCCGCTGAGCCGCCGTACCGCCGAGCCGCCCGAGCCGCCGAGTCGCCGAGCCGCAGTTGCCGCCGAGCCGCCCGAGCCGCCCTGTCCGGTAAGAGCAGCGCCTCTACCACTGCACTGCCCTTACCCCACTGTTCGCGCTACTAGTCTACTGCTGTCATGGCTACCCCTAGTGTCCTCGCTTTTGACGCTGAGGGTCAGGCCATTGACTTTGACGTCTGGGTAGATGACCTGCAGCTTTTCTTACAGTGCGATAGGGCGGACGGTCTCTCCCTCTTTGACCTCATCTCTGGTGCCTCTCCTGCCCCTGCTGCTGATGGTGACGCCAATGTTCGCTCACAGTGGGCCACACGCGATGCTGCTGCACGTCTTGCTGTGCGTCGCCACCTGCCTACCTCTGAGCGTGCACACTTTAGCCAGTACAAGAGTGCTCAGACCTTGTACGACGTTGTAGTTGCACGCTACTCCTCCCCTGCCACTGCTGCACTGAGCCGCCTCATGCTACCGTACCTCTTCCCTGACCTTGCTGCCTTTCCCACAGTCGCTGACCTCATTACGCACCTCCGACACTAGTGACACTCGCTACCGCGCTGCGCTTCCTGCTGAGTTCTGTGCCAAGAACCCCCCCCCCATGTACATCACCCTCTACTACATAGTCACCCGGCTCCCTGACTCTCTTCGCGTAGTCCGAGACCACTTCCTCTCAGTTTGCCCCACCACTCTCACCGTTGACCTCCTCGAGAAGGCCCTCCTAGTAGCAGAGAAGAGCATAGTCGCTGTAGGAGCCTCCCGTGGTGACCCTCGCACCCCCATCTTTGAGGGGTGTTCCCCCTCCCCCCTTTTGCCCTCTGTTGCCTCTACTGCTGCGGCCGACCTCGTTGGGCTTGAGTCGGTCGGTGCGGCGTCTACCCCTAGCGGGAGACGCCGCCCTGGCAAGGACAAGGGGGGCAGGGGCGCTGGAGGAGCTAGCGGGGGCGGTGGAGGCGGCGGTGGAGGCGGCGGAGGGAGTGGGGGTGGTGGTGGGAGTGGTGGCGGGGGTGGAGGTGTCGGTGGCGGCAGTGGAGGCGGAGGCGGCGGCGGCGGTGGCGGTGGGAGCGGAGGTGGCGGAGGTGGCGGCGGTGGAGGAGGCGGTGGCGGAGGAGGTAGAGCTGGTCGGGGTGGCGCTGCGCAGAGGGTCGGCTCCGGTGGTGGTCCGCGCCAGCACCAGCAGCAGCGCACTCGTGACATACCCCCCCCTCAGCAGCTCTGTGAGTGGTACGCTGCACGTCAGCGGGGTGGGGGTACTGGTCCGTGCACCTACGTCCTACGCACCTGCGATTGCGCGGGTGAGCAGTGTGGGGGTGCGCACTCCACCCAGTGCTGCTTTGGCCGCCTGACAGACGCTTGGCGTCACCAGTTCCCGGAGGCCACTGAGATCCCCCGCTGGGGTGAGCTGTCTAGGGCGGGAGTAGCTATCTTTGACCTTGACTTTGATGCTATTCTTGCTGCCATGTATGCTGTGACTATTAGTGACGAGGGTGACTGTTACCGGTGTTTTCCACCCGACCCGGGCATTGAGACTTCTGCTCTAGGTACTGGTGAGGCTGCTGCTCTAGGTGCTAGCGAGGCTACTGCTCTAGGTGCCAGTGCGGCTGCTTCCTCAGGTGCTGGTGAGTCTGCGCTCTCAGGTACAGCGTCGGCTTCGGCCTCCCTCACCTTCACCCTTGACCCGGGTTCTTCTCGCTCCTTCTTTCGAGACCGTACCACACTCACGCCGCTTGGTCGGCCAGTTGCAGTCTCTTTGGCAGACCCCTCTGGGGGTCCCGTCCTTGCTCACTTCTTCACTGTCCTCCCGTGTCCGGCGGCTCCCTCTGGCACCCTGTTTTGTCTCTACCTCCCCTCATTCTCTACGAACTTGGTGAGTGGTGCTGACCTACAGGATGGGGGAGTTCACTAGTTCACTTCTGCGAGCCAGCGGGTGACCCACTACACGGACGCTCGGACGGGCCGACACTTGGCCACGTTTACACGTCGGCCGGGGTCGAGCCTGTACACACTGACCACTGCGTCTCCTCCTGTCCCTGCGTCTGGTCAGGTAGCTGCGTCGGGTCAGGTGTTTGCTCCAGCGTCTAGGTCTGGTCCTGAGTCTGCCCCCTACTTGTGTCGCCTCC